TTTTTCTCTTTTTATTTTTATGGTTTCATATTTTCTATTTAATTGTATGCTTTCATTTTTTACCATTTAAAGTTTAATTCTTTTGGAAATTCATTTTTCTGTAAAAAGTAAGGTCTAAATTAGATTTCTTTTTCTCCTGAGTTGTGTGATCCAAGTAATTTCACCATTGTTCTAATTTCGGTTTCACTCTGGCTTGTGACTCTTAATTTTACATGTTTTCTCCAGTCACATCTCTGGCCTGGTCTCGTAGACACAACTGCTGGTGTCCTGGATGATTAACCCTACCTTCTCGTGAGGATATGGAACTTGATTTTTATTTTGAATGTCAATTTTGCAGCCACATATCTTAGTCTTTCTCCACATATCCTTCACTCTACTACATGGCAGAGTAAGTAGTGTTCCCTCATTCCCTACCTGGGTAACATGCTATCATTACAGAGACCTGGATAAATACGTCATGGGGGAACACATTGTTCCTGCAAAATTATGAACTCAATAACCTGAAAACTCTCTCATCACTAAAACTAGGACTCTGTATATTTACACATGTGCATATGAAATCTTTGAAACAAAATATTCATAACAGCATTTTTTATAATAATTAAAAAATAGAAAAACTCAAATATTCAAGTATCCCCAACTCAACAGTCTTCTAGCCCACTGGTGCCCTAACTTTCTCTCTCTCATCCCTTTCTTGTCCTCATGTTTCTCCCTGCACCCGTGGGAAGGCAACCTAAGCTGAACCAATCAAATCTCTCTGTCTACATGTCTTTCTGATCCTGTCTCTTCTCCAACCCCCAATCCCAACTTTCTGTACTGTATCCTTCAGGTCACTTCTTCAGAGAGGCTATCCCAGATCACTCAACCCAAATTAGCTGGAAGGATAAATTACAAGAACAAACAAAGTTGGGGGTTAAAATTTTTAAAGATGACATTTCAATTTAGTGGAGAAATATGAATTATTCAATAAATGATGTTGTGACACCTGACTAACCTTTGGGGACAAAACAAAATCAATGTCATTTTTTGCACCAAAATAAATTCCTAGTGGATTAACATTAAAGTACTAGAAGATGTTGTGAGTGTCAAATTTTATAGTTTTACAGTGGGTAAGGCTTTCTATTGGACATAAATGACAGAAATCATAGTGAAAAGATCTATCAGTTAAACACATTAAAAAAATTTTAAATCTCCATATAGAAAAGAAATATGAACAGTTAAAATGAAGCAATGAGGAAGGAAAGTATTTTCAAATTATAGCAAAGATTTGATATCTTCAACATACAAAGAGCACTCACCAATCAATAAGTAAAATATGACTATTACAATTAAAAAATAGAAAAAGGATATTAATGGACTGTTCTCAGAAGAGGGGTTACCACTGGCCAAGTGTCATATGAAATGTTGTTAAGCCACTAGTGAAACAATATTGAGATACGATTTTGGTTACTATATGGGCAAGGATTTAAAAGATTGAGAATGTTCTTTTGGGGGTGTATTATGGGCTGAATTATATCCCCTACATTCATATGTTAAATCATATTCTCTAATGTGATAGTATTTGGAGACAGAGACTTTAAGGAGTTAATTAAGGTTAAATGAGGTAATAAGGATGGGTACCAAATCAAATAGGACTGGTGTCCTTATAAGAAGAGGAACAGACATCAAAGAGCTCTCTCCTTCTCTCTTTACACACACGCACACACACACACAGAGGAGAGGTCATAGGAGGACACAGCAAGAAAGTGGCTGTCTGTAACTCAAAGAGGAGGCCTCAACCAGAAACCAACCTGCTGGCGCCTTGATCTTGGACTTCAAGTCTCCAGAACTGTGAGAAAGTAAATTTGTGTTATATAAGCCACCTAGTCTGGTGTTTTATTATGTCAGCCTAAGCTGATAAATACAGGGTAGGAAGTAAGAAAATGGGCACTTTCTTACACAATTTGATGGAGTTAAACTGATGCAAACTTTTTAGAGGACAATTTGTAACATGTTTCAAACACTTTAAAAAGAGCTTACTCTTTGACCCAACAACCCATTCCTTCTAAAATCCTGTTGTACATAATACATTACACAAAAACAAATTTACCAGGATATTCATTTTGGCATTATTTATAAGACTGAAAAATTATGAACAGCCTGAAGGTCTATATGTAAGAGATTGGTTAAAATAACTATGGTATATATATTCTGTGTAATGTTATATAGCTAGTAAAAATAATGTGGAAGGCATAGGTTTCTCCACATCCACTATACGGCCCACTTCTGGGTCAGTTTGGGGAACTCTGTCTGGAAAGGGATGGTCTTTCTCCTTGTTCCTTTCCTCTAGCTGCCCCTTGCAGTCCCTCCCCTCCTTTGACTTATTTGCCTTCTTTTCTACCATAATATGGGTTGATCAACAAGAAGCCAATCCTTTAGTAACAAAATAGGCTTATTTCTCCCTTGAAGTAATGAAGGAGGGCCAAGTTCTTAGATTACAATAATAGGTTAAATAATAAATAAAACTATGTTTCCTTAATTCAATAATAGTTGAGACTTCTATTTCAAGTAAAAAAATGGAACAAAAACCATCAAAAATATCCACTTTGGCTTAAGGCAAAGGGAGAATTTCTGAGTCTGTGTAACTGAAAGTTCCAGAGGTAGTTCTGTCTTCGCATGGCTGGATCCAGGATTTGGTTCTCTGAAATTTGCTTTCTTCTTGCTCCAGCTTTCCCTCTGCCCATTACCAGTCTGCTCCCCTGCAGCCCCCAAAGTGTCACTGGTTGGATGGATCTCCATGGCTGGAGAAAAGTAGTGCTACAATTGGCCAGGCCTGAGCCACATGTCCACTCCTGGAATCAGAAGTGAAGTCAATTCCATCAGAAGCATAACTGCTGAGGGGAAAGGAAGGGGGTGTGTCTAGGGGGTACTAAGGATACTGGTACCAGGAGAAAGGGACTAGATGCTGGATGACAAAACCAACAGATGTCTTCTGCAGGGCTGCAGACGTTTCATCAAATTCAAAATCAATTTCCAATGTTTTAAAGGAACAAGACTAGGAAGGATTATTCCTTAATCTAATAGAGCAGACCATTATTTTCCCAAAATAAAAGTATTTGTTTCAAAAGTAATATACACATGATGAAAATATTTAAACAACACCTAAGTGAAAAATGTATAAGGTGGAAGTTTCTTTCCCTGACGCTATTGTCCAGAGATGAGCATTCCTGACAGTGGGGGTGGCTCACTCCAGGTAGTTACTATGCACATCCGCACACATTCACACGGTGGGGGCGTGCTGTATAAACAGGAACACAGAACACCCCGCAGACAGAGACTCTCAACTTGTCTTCCTCTCTGTCTTAGTACCCAGCTACCTACCTTGCTCTTTCTTCAACTGCCACATGCTATTCCACTAGGATGGACTTACTGTGCTTACTGACTCTTTACTCAGTTGATGTACATTTACTTTCTTCCAATTTTTTACACAATGCTATAATTAACATCCTGGTTGATTCTGCCTTGTTTGCATATGAAAAAGTTTATGATAGATTCCCAAAGGTGGGTCAAAGAGTGAAAACAGCTTAGACTTTAGTATAAAATACCAAATAAATGTCCAGATAGATTTACTACCACTCCAACTGATAGAGTGTACAAGTCCTTGTTTCTAACAAATACCAGAGGTTGCTAATTAGTTGAATTACTCTTACACTAAAATGAATTTGCTCCACTTTGTTCTCACTGAGCAAAAATCCTTTCAAGCAAGACTTGAAAGGATTGAATTGTTTCCAAGTACCTTAACAGAATCGCAGAACAAAGCTCAAGAATATGTTTGGGAACACAAATATCCAGCATCCAAGGTAAAATTTCACAATGTGTGGCATCCAATCTAAAATTACAAGCATGAAAAGAAGCAGGAAGCTCCAATGCCACGAGGAGAGAAATCAGTCACAAACAGGCATCTCAATTGGAAAGGAAAAGTAAAACTACCTTATCTGCAGACAACCTGACCCACTATGTAGAAAATCTAATGAAACTCACAGAAGAGCTACTAAAACTATAAGCAAATCAAGCAAGGTTGCAGGAAACAGTATACATTAGAGGAAGCTAACTTCTCCTCCATACACTTAACTAATTGTCCCCAAACCTTTTCTTCAGTGATCTGAAACAAGGTTAGTAGGCCACAAAACTCAATTCTAGTGTTTCTCGGTTGTTCGATCTGCTCCTGCAAATTCAACTTTTTGCTTTGGCAGGTATCAGACCTACTGGTACAAGGAGGTAGGCAAACTAGAATTCTGGCAGGAGGACACACTTCCTGAATAGCAACCATGTACTGTAGACCAACAGCCTTAAAAATAAATGGAAAAGTAAGTTTTTAACTCAATAAGTCTACCTTTTGGAATCTATCTTGAAGACAACCTGTCAGATAAAGACTTACAGTGAAGAATTCCATTGGGTCATTACTTATAATAGGGAAAAATGGAAACACATTAAGTGTTCAACACTAACATTATGGTAGTTCTTTTACGCATCCAAGTACATGGTTTTTCTGGTGGTGAGGGTAATTAGGTTTATTTATTTATTTGTTTGTTTGTTTATCAAATGGAGGTACTAGGGATTGAATGAACCCAGGACCTCATGCATGCTAGGCATGCACTCTACCACTGAGCTATACCCTCCCCCAAAGCAAGTACATGTTTTTGAAGAAATTTTAGGAAGAGGAAAAGCTGATATATTAAATGAAAATAATTCAGGGAAAAATTAATCTTGAACTTGCAAAAATTACATTATATTATTGTTATATATAAACACAACTATAAAACTAAGAAAATATTCTGAAATACTGACAGTAGTTAATCTCAAATGACAGGACATAATTCATTTTAATTTTCTTCCATTTCTTAAATTGTTTTCAATTACCTTGTACTACTAGAATATGTGAATCCCAGAACCTCTCCCCTGAAACCAAGGACAAAAGCAAGAAAATGTGGAGGCGCAGGACCAGAAAATAAACTCAGACACAGAATGATAGTTCGGTTTTATTTTTTGCTGTAACAAACATTGAAATACCCTCCTCCTCCAGTAACAGGGCAACAGCAGGGCCAAGAGAGCCCAAAGGCCAAAACAAGCAAACAATAAAGTGGCAACTAGTGTAGGAATCGATGCCCTGGGGAAGGGTGCACTGTCTAGGCAGAGACCCTAGGTTAGTCTTAGGCCCGGTTTCCTGGTCTAGGGTTAGTAAAAAACAGGGACACAGAGTGCTGCATGGTCTGAACCAACAGAGAAAGCTGGTTGAGACAGGAGGTGATGGAAATCCGGAGTTGGCCAGGGTCTCCTGCAGTCAGTCGGCTAAAAGTGAGGGGAAAAAAAAATCAAGTTCAGTGTGGTAATCCTGCACCTAATTCTTTCTGCCCCCTCAGGTGGTGACAGGCCCAGAGCACCATGTCCACCTCCTCAGATCTAAACTTCGGGTGTCTCCAATTCACTGTCAGAATGACCCCAGCCACCTGTCACCACCCCCACCTTGGGCCCTCTCAGAACTAACATAGCTAAGATGTTGCCGGACACTATGAGCTCCTTCTGAACTGCCCCTTGGTAGGGCTGGACACGTGGGGCCAGGGACTGGCCGGCCATCTCTGCCTCCATGGGCGACGGGAAAGACACGGTGAGGGAGCTGGTGAAGGGGCAGTTAAGGCACCATCTCATGGCGATTCTGCCTGTGCGTCAGGCTTCCTTTTCATTCTGAGAGCTGCTTCCCCTCAGGCCACTCTTAGCTGTCCCAATTCCCTGAGGGTTGTCCCCCTCCTTTCTGGTCTCTGAAGCCATCTCCTCCCACAATCTCTCCTGGCCACCACTGGGCCTTCCCCTCCAGGCCAGCCCCTCTAGCCCTCTTGATCCCTTCCCCTCCTCCCCCTATATCCCCAGGCTGACCACCTTCTCCCCATCCCATCGCCTCCCTTAGGTCCAACCCCATGGCTCTCTGGGCACTCAAATAGGATACAACTGGAGCAGCTGGCTCCCTGGTCCTGTGGCTGTGGGCCTGACGGGCCCGCCCAGCCTCGATGCAGCGTGTCCACCCGGCCCTGGCGAAGCGTGTCCACCTGGTCCCGGCGCGGCATGTCCACCGGGTCCTGGGGCAGCGTGTCCACCCAGGCCTCGCAAGGCGTGTCCACCCAACCCGCGCAAGGCATCTCCGCCCGGCCCAGGGGCGTGCGGGGCCCGCTCGACTGGTGGGGCGCCACCG